TCCTATATGGGGAATCAGGGGACCTGGCTCCGAGTCCTGCCCTCGCTAATCATCAGCCCAGCGGAGTGGTTCCCGTGTTGGACTCTAGATTCCTTACCTTATCTCTAAGGCCACATTCCGACACTAAAGTTTTAGGGCCCCGATTAGGACCAGCTAGGGTTAATTGGGGGGACAAGAGATATCTGGGGTCTGCACAGAGTTTGCTTCACTGAGTGGCATGGGGTCAGGATGGTCCTCTAACACCTGATAATTAAAGGGTGCAAGGTAAGAAGGCAATCAAGTAAAAGACAATTGTTAGTGTTTCTTCTCACGATTGCAGAGCCAGATCCTTGGTGGGATCCTGTCACAGAAATCTAGACGCATGGTAACCCCTGACCACAGGTTAAGTCCAGGGTAAATGCTGATTATTCTGATTAAAATGTAAAAAAAAAAAAAAGCTTGAAATAATGATACACATGCCCTTGACACGTATATAATGTAAATCAGTGATATTCAGATGGGGCCCTTTTGTGGGTAACCTGCAGCTCTCATAAGCCCTCAAATGTCCGTGTTTCAATAATCCACTATCCTAGACTCTGCAGGGCATATAGCAGTCATGCAGCTCCGTCAGCTAATGATGATTGCAAAAGTGGCTCCCGAGTCACATAACTGAACACCACTGGTGTAAATATTTAATCTTGCTTATCTATGTGGAAATTCAATGTTTCAGTTCTACCGTCTGTCTGTCTTTGATATGCTCATCCACATAAATGTCTGTCTTAGATTGCAAGCTTTAGAGGGCTGGGAGTGCGTTTAAATTGCCTTAATGGCATGATACAGAGATTCCCATATGGATAGATACTTAATAAATGCATTTTTTTTTATCTTGAGGAGGAAAAAGAAAGAAGAAATTTCTGACTTTATCTCTTTCTCTATGGCTTCTCTCTCTCTAATAACTGGCCTTCTATCAGATTCGACATTGAAGCTGGAAAACGGGCCCGTCCCTTGGAGCAGCGCATCTCTCCTGGTGACCATGGGCTCTGGGCAGCAGCGATAGTTTTGCCAGTGGTGACTTCACAAGGGATGCTTGTCGCCACTCGGAGGGAGAGGGAGGCCTCCACATTACCCTAGTCTTTACACAGGAGGAGAAGGGCTTGGAGGCCAAGGCCCATGCGGCTGCCTGCTCTGGAAGTAGCACAAATGCGACAGTGCACAAGCACACCCCTTGCTTGCTTCTCTTCTTTTTGGCACCATAATAGCTCTTGAGTGTCATTTTCTCCTTTTCCCAGGGCTGTCTGTAACCAATCACAGAGGCAATGGCTAGTACTAAAACGACTGGAGATGGAGATAGAATGCAAGGCTGGGCTTTACACACCTCCTTAGCGGAACAGGCAGGCTGGATTGCATGAGTCTCCTCCTCTCCCCTTTCTGGAAACCCTTAGATGGCTCACAGCTAGGCCATGCCAACAACAGGAGGTCTGCAAACAATGCCTGATACCATTCTGTGAAGTATCTAGACTCAAGAGACTCACAAAAGAAGACTCTCATTTGCCCTCAAGCTTTGAGCCTCACCGTTTCACCCACTGGTGACCTCCACATTGCTAAGCCCAATGACCAGCTTTGAGTGCTCACCCTGCTTGGCCTCAGGGCAGCATGGACCCTCCTTCACTTTTCCTCCTGTCTGTCTGGCCATATCTTTCTAAGTCTCCCTCGCTGGTTCTTCTTCATCACTCCTGTCTCCAAACGTCACTGGGGCCCAAGTTCTTAGGATGCGTCCCACATCTGTCTACATTATGCCCTACTCTCACAGCTAGGTGAATATTGACTCTGCGAATTATAATTCTGTCCCAGACTTTTCCTCAGACTCAGATTTATCCCAGTTGCTCACTCAACATCTCCACTTGGAAGTCTAATGGACATTTCAAACTAAAAGGTCCAAGATGGTTTTCCTGATACCCCTGCCCTAACATCTTTTCTTGTCATCATCTTCCCTAAATCAGTAAATGATGATTCTACTCTTACTACTGTTGAGGACAATCACCTTGGAATCTTCCTGACTTCTCTCTTTCTCACACCCCATATCTGGTATGTCAGCAAATGATGCCATTCTGGAGCCTGAGTGCACCACCCCATGTTACCAGGATAAAGCACCATCTCTTGAGTCAGTAGCCTCCTACCTGGCTCCCTGTGTCACCCTTGCTCACTTTCATCTCATTCTGCACATGGCAGCTGGGGGGATCCTGTTAAATACGTGTAGGTCATGTCACTTCTTAGCTCGAAACCACCAGGAGCTTCTTGGCTCGCCTCTGGTGAAAGTCCAAATTCTTACAATGATTTTCATGATCTACTCCTTGGTTAACCTTGAACCTCATCTCCTACCACTGTCCCTGTTATTCACTCCTCCCTGGTCACATTAGTCTCCCTTCTGTTTCCAAGTCAGCCTCAAGGCCTTTCCATGAGCTAGTCCCTCTGCCCAGAATGCTCTTTTCTCAAATATCTATATGTTTCTTTTCCTTATTGCCTTCAAGTCTTTATTCAAATGCTACCTTTTCTGTGAGGTATTTCCTGGCCACATCTCAACACTTCTGTCTCCCTCTCACTGTTTTATCTTTCTCCACAGTACTTGTTACTTTGTCACTCTCTTACATACTATTTAATTTATTGTCCGTCTCCCCACTAGAATATAATTTCTACGAGGGCAAGGAGGTTTGACTATTTTGTTCATTGCTATATCCCCAGTGCCTAAAACAGGGCGTGGCACAGAGTTGCCCTTAATTGATGGATGGATGGAGGGAGGGAAGAAGGGAAGAATGAATGAACTAGAATATATTTTTGTATATAATTTTACTGGCCACATCATTTGCTCTAATTACTTAGAGAAATGCTTCCCCACTATGCCCTTTCTCTCTCTTGTCTTCCCAACCCCTGTTCCTTCTACTTCCTCAGTCGTTTTGTAGCTTTTCCTAGAAAAAAAATGAGTCTTTGGGCCCCCTCTTGGTAAGCCCAGCTACCACGGAACGTGCCATTGAACTTTCCCTGTGCTGGAGCCAACTCTGTCTCACCGGTGCATCTCGTTAAGTGCTGATGGGGATTTTGCCCGGAAGTTGCCAGAGCCATCGATGAAGAGTGGTAATACCTTTTTTCCTTAAAAGACTACGTAATCTTTGAACTGAAAAGAACTGGCAAATACACTAACCTGTAATCTTTTAGCAATTTCAAAGGCCAAGATAGTACTTTAATTGAGACACACGTGTAATTTGTAGCAGCACTTCTCCCCTTGTATTTGTTTTGAAGGGCAAACTATGAAGTTCTGAAGAAGAGAATATACTTCCTAAGCCATAGACTTGCCTTTCCTGCAGATCTGTTAGGTTGCCAATTCCTTAATAATTTAATCACATCAACTCTGCTTGTAATTGGACTTCCCCAGTAGACAGTCCTTTGGACCCGTTTTCTGGCTCCATTCCTAAGTCTCTCACATTCACTTCATTGCAAATGTTATTTTTTTACTCTCTGTATCTTGCTTTTTTGGATACTTATTCTCTTGCTCCATCCCCTAGAACTGTTCCACCATCATCCCCACAACTGAAGGAGCCAGGCTCCCATTCCATCCTCCTAGGACAGGTTGACTGAGGACAAGAAGCAGACCTGAAAGTGTCCTCTAGCCATGAGGTGAGAGGCACAACAGTCTCCAGGGTCCAATTTCATCCATATTTGAGCTTATGAAAATGTGGCAGAGACCCTGTCCATTGGGGTAGGCAGTTCAGTATGCTCTTCCCAAAGCTTAGCCAGAAATGTGGGTACATGGGCCTTGTCAATGTGATCTGCTCTAGCGGCAGAGAATACTCCATTCTGGAAACTCCCTGGAATTTATTCACTTCATGGGCAAGGCAGGGAAGCAGCATACTTCTCCTTGGAAGCTCTTGCTTTAGCCAGAGAACAGAATAACTATATGTCTCTGTGGATGGCAATTAATTGCTAAGCAAGTAGTGGATACTGCACATTTTTAATAACACGGTAAGAAGCATGCTCATCACCATTAATCAGGAGTTAGGGGCTCCACCTGACTTAAGGTGAAGAGAGGAGCCAAGATGACAATTCCTGTACCTTAGAGGTAAGCTTCTCTGTCATTCACAGGCCAGCTTATTTATTCACCATACCATTCAGTAAACAAACAAATCAACTACTCCACAGTACCATCAACAGTATAATACAAGCTGCTAGGCATTTTTCCAGAAAGACCCTCAATGGCATCATTGCTCACCATTACAATCCATCAAAGGTGTTGTCTTCCAACTTGCAAAACTACTTAGTAGAGCATAAAGGTCTCCTTAGGTTATTAAATTATGTTGTTATGAGTCCCTTGTTGTTTGTGTGTTTTAATTTTGTATTTTCACCTTGAGCAGAGTTATCAGAAAGGGAACAGTTGATAGATGTATTAAATCAGTCTTTGAAATGAGGGAGCAGAGATTCTATTCTCTATTCACATCTTTGACTGTCTTCTTCCTTTTTCCCTCCACCTTCTCCTTCTCCCAGATTCCCAGTTAGAACTCAGTTACTAATGAGTAGAAACATACAGAAACTAACTGGGGAGTTTGAATACAATGGACATAATTAATGCTTGCTCATAAGGACAAGAACCTAGACTCACATATTTATATATATATGTGTTAGGATATATATTCCTACATTCCTACACCATAGGGATTTTAAAACTCTAATGGGAAGACCATAATCTGCCCCTTGCCCAAAGAGATGGAGCCTGGAGGAGGATGTCTGATTAAAAAAAAAAAAAAAAAGAGTCCACCTTAGCAAAATCTCAACTGTCTTTTAGAATCTTTGGATCTAAAAGGAATATGAGGCTTTACAGATCAACAGCAATTATTTCACATCTGCGACTAATTTCTATGAGTAGAAATGACTGCAATCAATGCATTTGTTGTTCCAGGAAGACAAACTGTAAGGATAAATTGGTGGTAGAAGGTCTCCCTGTTCTGGCCCCTGTCTCCTCCCTCTTCCAGAACCCAGCCCAAGACAGGATGGCTGCTCACTGTTTCGGGGCTTCTCCTCATCCATGCCTTCATCCTCATTCTCGGGGTCGATGTCCTCTGCCTGGGTGATCCAGTCCAGGTAGCCCTTCAGGTCCTCTTCCAGCTGCTGCTTCTCTCGAAGCTTCTGGAAATCTCCCCGAGCCTTGGCCTTCTCCCTCTCTTTGGAAAACTCTCTAGGGAGTGAGAGCAGAGGGGCAGGGCAGGGGAGTGCATGAGGAGGAGGAGAAGGAGGAGGAGTAGGAGTAGGAGGAGGAGGGCCAGGTGGGCGAGAAGGAGAGATGGAGATAAGAGGAAACAAAGGGATTAATTTCTTCACACCAGGAGACCCGCCCACCTGCCCCTGCTTTCCACAGACAGCCTTCTCTCCTCATCCCAGGCTTTGTCTTTATTCTCACATAAACAGAAAGTCACCGAAGCGGACATTCTTAACACAGGCCACTGGAGTACAAAGGGATGGATGAAGTCCATTTCCCTTATTCTTGGATCATGGTCACAGCCTTTGCCTTTTAATAACAACTATTCTCCAGTGACCTGGAAACCCCTTTCAAACAGTCACTAAAAAACCTCCATGACAGTTATGGACTGTGCACTTTCATTCCCCCCCGGAATTGGGTGGCCACTGGAAAACCTCAAAGCATCTCTGGGTGACAAAGGTGTTAAGGGCCGGTGGTATGCTGAATCCCGCTCACCCGCACTGGCTCCTGGGAGCCCACCACAGACGGCTCTTTGTTCCTCTAGCTTCACTGATGTCTCCTTGTGGCTTGAAATCGGCCATGGTGGGAATATTTACACCACGGAAATTGGCAAATGCTACAAACTAGGGCTTTTTGCTCCCCAAAGAGCTAATTGGTAAATATTTACCAGTACACCACTGATTTGAGGCCCAGGAGATTCAACTACCTCAACCTCTCTTCTCATTACTAGAGTTTGTTTTGCCACTTTTAACATGCCTGGAAGGATTTCTAATCTAGAGAAAGTTCTTCCCCACAAGGAGACAAATGAGGACTCTAAACACAAGAAAATGTCCTGGGGCCTGCCCTTTTGGTTAAAAAAGAAATCTAATCAGACTGGAAAAATACATAAAAGCAAGATGATACAAAAGTTAAATGATGCATTCAGTTTAAAGTAATAATGAGTAGAAATTGGAATTGGATTGGGATTTGCTGGAAGAAGGGCCTGTTAAAAATTTTCTGACAGAATGAATATTTCTTTCCTATTTTTTGATTCTGTCCTGATTTTCAATCTGACTTCAAATTCACTTTCTGAGCAAGGAAGGGGGGCTGGCAGCAGAACGTAATGACCAAGAAGGCTAGTTCTCAACTCTCAAAGCAAGTTTGTGTCTTTTCTTCCAAAATAGGCACATTAGGAGCATTTTGGTCTTTGATATTCAGTTTATGGGAAATGGGGCCCTCAGTGGTGTGTGTGTGCACGCACACATGCGTGTATATGAGAGAGAGTGGGATATGCGCTGGGCATCTTGATTAATTCATAGAGACGTGATTCCTCCTTCTTTCACTAGTACAGGTCTAGTTCAGGGCAGGAGGTTGTAAAAACCACCTTGAAGGAATTTCTTGAAAGGCATCCTGGAAGGAAGGACACAGCAACAAACCACAGGTAGGCAAAAGCTCCCGAATCCATTCAGTCATATAGGGGTGGCTCTATCACCACCTCCACTATCTAGTATTTGCATTTTGCTTGTGCTGCTTAGGAAAGCACAGATTTTTAGCATTCACCATTTTTATGGATAAAAAGGTGTTAGGACTGGGAGTGGTGTAGGGAATGTTTTAATTGGGAGATGTGGGGGCTCTCAAGCTAATGAGTTTTCTTCAACTGCTGTCTTAATGATGCTCTGCTTTGCATGGAATTTTCTTCTTAAATTTGATTGAATCCAATTCTAATTGGATTGAACTTGCTCTTTCTCCGGCTTCCTGCCAACTGGCAGGTACCTTCATTTCCTTCCCAGGGAGTTTTATGCCAGGGAAAAGGGGCCAGATTGACAGCTCAAATTGAAGATGGAAGCTTTGCCTTGCTTTGTTCCCTCCCTCCTTTTGCTGTTGGGGATGAGCATGGATAGATCCCCTATATCTGGTCATACCACCTGGGCTGTAGACTCGCTCTCTGGAGACAGTCACTTCATACAGCAGTTCCTTCCCCATGCAAATTGACTCCAACAACTGCGTTTCCATTTCTGCCCACATACATTTGCATTCTCCATTTCTTTTCTGTGGCGTGGGTTTGGGGTTGTAAGGGGACTGAATAGCAGAGGGTTCACTTTAGCTCTTTTGGATTATTTCGCAGAGGGCTTAAGTTCTAGTTATAAAACAATGACCCATCCTTCTTCTGGAGTCAGGAGAACAGGGTTGGGATCAAACTGGGGTAGGAACATTTGACCCAGTCCTGTGTTACAGCATCCGCCCTGTGGAATGAAAGCTCATCATCCATACCCGAAGACTCTGGGGAACTAATATAAACATCTATAAGGAGAAAAGAAAATGAGGTTGTGTTGGGGTGTGAGGGGAATGGAGGCAGGGTCAGATCTGAAGCCCTGCTGGCTCCCATTGGCTCCCATGCAGTGAGGGGCATAACTCTGCTTGTGGCTGGATGGAAGGTGAGCCAAGGTTTCTTTCTCCAGACTCCACGCAGTAAGGGATTTGCTGGGTGGTGGTATCTGGATCTCTGTATCTCCTCGCCTGGATGACAGCCATGTGCCTGCTCTGGGGACTGAGCTAATGAAGACATGAAGCCCTAGCCTGATGGGCTGTGCTGGGCCCAGGGACCAGAGCTGGCTAGACAATCAGTCACAGCCATGGGATTTGTCATAAGGCAGGAGCACAGCTCTTGCCAGCAATGGCCAACATGAAAAATGAGGGGTGGAATGGAGAGCTGGGGGCCAGTGCTCAGTAATGTAAAGCATGCTGAGGGAGGTATATGTGGGAAATCCAATCAATACAGAAGGCTGGGGCTCTAGGCCCTCTGATGATCAATACAGTCGATTCTCATTATTCATAGATTCCGTATTTGCGAATTTGCTGACTCGCTAAAATTTATTTGTAACTCCCAAATTGATACTTGTGTGTCTTTGTGGTCATATGCAGACATGTGCAGCATGGCAAAAAACTGGAGTCACATAAGCAGCTGAGGTTAAACACAGCTACACTCTGCCTTCTTGTTTCAGCTCTCACACTGTAAACAAGTGTATTTTTTATTATCTCTTTAGTGCCATGTTTGTCACATTTCTGTGCTTTTGGTTGGTGGTTTTTCTGTAAAAATAGCCCCCAAGCACAGTGCTGAAGTGCTGCCTAGTGTTCCTAAGTGCAAGAAGGTTGTGATGTGCCTTAGGGAAAAAGTACACGTGTTAGATAAACTCCATTCAGGCATCAGTTATAGTGCTGTTAGCCATGAGCTCAATGTTAATGAATCAACAATATATATTAAATAAGATGCCTTTAAAACACATAAAATAAAGTTGTGTATTGGTTGGTTGACAAAAATACTGTGACTAGAAGCTCACAGGATTCTTGCATTTCTCCTGTATTTCTCCCAAGAGTCCAAGAGTAATGGTTTAGTATTCATTAATTCAGTGTTCATAGTGACCTCATAGAATATAACTACACAGATAATGAATATGACTATAGATGTTGCTGTCTCTTCTGCTTCCACCCACACAGAATGCATGTCCTAGATCCTTCTGGGCCTAGACATTGTGTCTTTACTATAATGCCATGATCTAGTTATGCTTTCAGGTTGCAAAATGCTTCCCCACCAAGCCCCTTGCTATTTTGGGGAGAGAGACCAGCCCATATCCTGGTGGGAAAGAGGACAGGATGACTACCCATCTAAGAGATCCTGAGTTCCTTGTCTACTGATGGCACATATCTGAAGTCCTCAGTTTGCAATCACTTAAAACAAAAAGTGACCAGATTCCAGAGTCCGGGGACTTTTACCTGACTATAGCTTAAGTGCAATTTTGAGAATCTCACTGTATTGCTTTAATTTTAGTAGGCTGGAGACTGAGATTTTTGGAGAGAAAAGCAAGTATAATCCAGTTCTTGTCTGTGCTAATAGAAGTCCTGTGGCTTGTGAGGATCAACAGATAATGAACATGAAACCATTTTGAAAAAATCCATGAGATATATATTCTTTACACTGACTCTATCTAGCCTCGTGAGGAATAAGATGTTCTGAATACGTGAATGTTCCAGATGAAGGTTACCTAACCCTCTGGTGACCAAAATCTCAGAATGTTTACATTTTACTTTATAGAATGTCCTCTTTCCTTCTTGAACAGAACACTCCAAGCACAATTTAACATTTTCTTGGTGACTGAAGGACATAATTTATAAGGATGAGTTACTGTGTTGGGCTGTAAAATAATATTGTCCTTAATTGGTGGGTGTAGGGTCTCAGACCACTCCAGTTCCAAAATGCTCCAAGGCATTTCTACTGAGCTGGGGGGGGTGTCTGTTCTCTCTCAAGGACTATTAACATTTGCAGGGCTGCCAGCCCCCATGCTAAACAACCATGCCCTGCTGCAGCCTCCTGAGTGGTGGCTCTGCAGCTTCCTCTTGGGGCTCTTTCTGTTTTCAGCGGCTGTTTTCAACAGTTGTTCCATGGATTGCTTCTGCCTTTCTCCCTCTTCCTCTTGCTCCTCCTCACTGCACTTACTGCTCTCACCTCCCCACTTCTTGACTCTAATTTAGGAACATGGGATTAGCCAGTTAAATGGGTTTGGGGATAGTATAACATGGAGGTTAGGGATAGAGGCTATGGATTCACGTTGCTTGGGTTTAATCCTGGATCCTCCATTTTCACCTGTAAGAACTGAGGTAGTTTCCTCATCTCTACCTCAGTTTTCTTCTCTATAAAACAGAGATATAAATAGCACCTAGCTCATAGGGTTGTTGTGAGCATCAAATGAGCTATCCACCAAAGGCTCCATGTACTGAGCCTGCCATGGAGGTTGGTTACTGTTAATGCTATCACTGGGACAGTGAATTTCGTGGAGCTCTGAGAGGTTTTTGGATGCTATTGGAAGGTTGGTTTAATCAGAAGTCTGACTGATGAGTAAGTGGAAGTTTTGTTGCATTCTTGTGGTGACTTTTATGTTATTGTCCCGACTGATCAAGATGCTGACTCAAAACTGAATCCACTGCCACCATGTGGTAGCCAATAAGAGCCTGATTCCAGGTTTTGTCACTGCATGGACCAGGGCAGCCCATTCAGAGTGTCCAGCCCTTTTGACTGATTAGGAGGCCTCCTTAAACCAGGAAGGGGAGATGACTACCCATAGACACTTCTCTTTCTGCGCAGAGGGTGTGCCCAGCAGCCCAGGAAGCCTTGGGAGATGCTCCATCAGCAAATCCAGAGCTGTGAGGAGCAGACTACTACTCTGGGACAGGGTCAGGGAGCAGGTGCTGGGGAAGGTGTCCTGCAGAGACCAATGTATGGACTCCAGAGCTCACAGTTCTGAAGTCTGAAAGCCTTAGTGTTCCTGTTTAGAGTCAATTCATGTTCGGAGCATTACTAATGCCAGGCTTTGGGCTGTTTTTACACGTGCTTTCTCAATGGGACTGAGTTGGTCCAAGACATGCTCTTCAAAACGACTTTTCTCTCACATCAGCAGCTGCTGTCATTTAACTTCTCTGCCGGAAGACAACTTTCCTGGGGGGCCCAAAAATGACTGTGAGTAGGTACCCTGCTTGAGGAGGGGCCTTCATTGGCCAGTGCTGATTCTCCATTTTGGATTCCTGGGGCGGGGGGGATTTCACTTGCTTAGATTTGTTCCTAATCTCTGGGGGAAGAAAGTAGAATCACATTTTTTTAAAGGTTCAGAGCTCTAGCTTGTGTTACAGTTCAAGTTCATTCAATGTATAGCCAATGGATGGTGATGAGAAGATGGGGTCCATGCTCTGCCTGAGTTCTGGTCCTCGTTCTAATACCTAGAAGCACAATGACATCACATAAGCCATTTACCTCCAGGCTCACTTTCCTCATCTTTAAAAGGAAAAGGCTGAGGGTTTTATGCAATAATTCCAGTTATGATAGGCACCAAGTAAACAATAATCATTATCATGATAGCACCATTATTGAACACTTAGTATATGCCAAGTATTTTACACAAACGATCTCACTCTGTTATCACAACAACCTATGAGTTGGTATTATTTTCATTTTTTTTTGATGGTTAACTAAAGTTTAAAAGGGTGAAGTTGCCCAACTCTATGCATCCAGCAAGTGCAGAGCTGGGATATCCAAATTTGTCTCTAATGGGAGTGATGAAGTTGGTTTTTTCAATGCTTTGATTCACATATAAACACAGGAGCATTTTCTTGTGTTGGAACACAAAATTGAAAACCTTTATACCTTCCAGGCAGCTAACCAGGGGCTTATGTTGTCCTGTTCATCATGTCCTGTTATGTTTATCCCTGATGGAAGACACTAGTTTCCTGTGTGGCCTTACCTTGCTTGGCAAAAGGCATGGGGTCATCAAAGTCTCTAACAGGCCACCCACCATGGAAAGGAGTGAGGGTGGGAGCAGATTCTTCCCTTCACCAAAGCCCAAAGACTAAACTGATGCTCCTATAGGACATTAGGCTATGGCAGGAGACAGGAGGAGCTGTTCCCAGTTTATGTACTTAGTAAAAGTTAAATGCAATCGTTCCTGTCATGCCTGACTTTATCCCAGCATTACTGTCCCTGGAGACATAGGAAAGGCTATTCAAAGCAGGGCAGAAATAGATTGTCCCCCTCCCCCTTGTAGCAAAGGTAGCAGAGGAGGTCACCCATGAGCAGGTCACCAGGAGCATTTAGGTGTTAGGCCTTGGCCTGGCTGGTGTGGACTTGTGAAGAAGAAGATAGGTTGAGGAAAGGGCCAGTGAGTCTCTGTGGTGTCAAGGTGGCCATCCCCAGGGCAGCTTGATGCCCCGACCATATGTTATTTCTACCATTTTTTAACTTCATCGGAGCAAAGGCTGAAATTAGGCAAACTTTATACTTGTAGCCAAGTAGATAAATTTAAAGGAAAGTATATTCCATCTCCTCTATTCGCAAATAATCTACGGCTTTGAACAGCTAAGTGCCATTTCCATTCAGAAAAAGGGCATATGAGACACGGACTGCAGAGTCTATGAATTAGAATCAAAGACAATTTTATTTTTAGTTAGTGTTTGTTTACTTATATTTTAAATCAAACTCTTATTACCCCAGTCCATTCAACAGATAGCATAAAAGCTATCTGAAATCTTTTTGTTAGCCTGCCACAACGGTAATCAGGCAAGTACCTACTGGCAAGGCAATCCCTACTGCCAAACCCTTTCGACTCAAGGCTCTCACCATGCAGCTCCTCAGGTAGAAGGAGAAACATCCTGCCTACCTGAATAGCTGTTTGAGGGTGGGAGGGGCTTGGATGAGCTAGCAGGAGACAGGCGGGCCTAAGAACCTCCTCGTGAAGCCCAAACCAACAGATTAATCCCTGTACATTTGATCCTCTGTCCAGCCAGGCCAAGGACACTCACTTCAAGGCTCCCGAGGTAGCCTCTTATCCCAGGTTCATCAGAGCCAGAAAAAAGAATAAAGCCAGGAATAGCAGAAAGAGTAAATAAAATAAAATCAAGACCTTTTTCCTTGGTCCTGCTTACCCGCTAAGAACACCGAGAACCAAGTTAAGTACAAAAAATGACCCTATGATGATTAGTGTAACAAAATAGATCCAGGGCCAGTCCCTTCCTACGGCATCATTGACCTGGAAGAATGGAATGATAGTTAGTGAGGCACACTCAGCAGCCGAGCACGGCCAAGTGCCCATCACCGGCTCCTGGACACTGACCCAAGCAGTGCCGGGACCCGGGGATCCTCTAGGTGCAAATCAGAGGTCAAATGGCCTGCCCAGCCAATGGGTCAGAATCTGTGGTTGAATGGGGACTTTTTTTTTTTTTCCTGGTTTTCCTGGCCTGTTAGGATCCCATCCCTGAGGACCCTGGTGATGGATACAGTGGGACCTGGGACCTTGCTCGGCTGCATTGTAAAGAGTACATAGAAACGGTCAGCTTACCCGCTCAACACACCGAGAACCAGATTTAGAACGAAAAAGGATCCAAAGATGACCAGACTGACAAAATACACCCAGGGTAACTCATAGCCCATAGCGTCCTGCATCTGGAAAGATGAAGGCAGGTTAGGAAAGAGAGAGCAGAATGAGTTAAAGTGAGGAGGCAGGCAGGAAGGGTGTGGACAGAACTGGAGGAGACCAGCGAGGCTGAACCAGGATCCACTGTCATCTCTGGCACCCTCGATATTCAAAATACTTCCCCATGACCCTGACCTGAACCATAAGGGACATTTGCAGGCTCTGAATTCTGGCTCTGTTATTTTATTTTCCGGAACCAGAAAACTTTCTTCAATGTTTTCACTTGTCTAATAAGGTGGGTTACCTAAAAAAGTGATTTTTTCAGCCTAGGGTGGTTTCAGCTCAGTTGGGTTTATGTGGCATGAAATCTTCCACTGCACCCCGGGCCAGCCTAACCTTGGTGTCAGGAGGGCCTCGGCTCTTCCTGAAGGAACCAGACACCCAGAACCTTTGAGGATGCGTGAGGGAAGAGAGCCCTTCCCGGGGGCTTTCCTGAGCTGGCCCTGGAATTTAGAAGCAAAACTGTGGTGCTTCACAAGCACTCCAGGCCACAGCCCAGGAAGGACGGTTGTTTTGGTTACTTTTGCAGAGAACAGTTCCTATCCTGCAACCACTTTTCCTGTAGCCTGGAGACTGTGACCAGTACCTAACTGGGTAATGGAGACAGCCTCTGACAGGTGGCAAACCCCTGCAGTCCCTGGAGGCAGTGGTGTGCTGGACCTGGCTCCTCTGGCCTTTGGAGAACCACCGCACATCTCTTCCCTCGTTCGTGTTCAGTGATGTCACTAGGGTAGCCCGAAAATGGCCATGGTGGGGCAGAGTGGGCAAATGACAGAGATCAGCCCTCCTTTGCCCTTTGCCCCTAAGAACTGGTGGTTAAACATTTACCAGCACACAGCTGGCTGGAGGGTAGGTGTAAACATGACGTGAAGACACAGAGCAGCATTTTTTATCAAATAGGAAATTTGTTCTGGTTTAGTTTCTCAAATCTATTTCTTTTAGTGCTTTCCGACTAGACTAAACAGGATTTAGTCATATCTTTCTAAAATGAACCCCAACTTTGTCTCTGTGAAATTGCCTTACAGGAACCCAAACTCCTAATATACAAGCTTCCCGAATGATTGACATTAGTGGATCTCATAGTGTGGCCCTGACCTGTTTAGAAATGCACATGCTCGGCCCTCCCTGAAACTCTGCGGGTGGGCCCAACAACCCATGTTTTAGCAAGCCCTACAGAGAGTCTGATGTATGCTAAAGTTTGAGAACCAGTGATTTACACCATGCTCCATAGCTCTCAACTTCAAATATAAGGACACGACAAATACTGTGATTCACTACCTGTCTCTGCTTTGTTGCATGGCAGTTTTCATTAAAGTGTGGTCTGAAGACCAGCAGCATCCGAATCATCTGGAAGAATTGTTAACAACGCAGATCCCTGGGCCATTGCTCCCAAATCAGTGAGCCTTATGACTCTGCGTGTTAATCACCCAGGGTATTCTAAAGCCAGGGGCCTCAAGCGAGTTACACATGGGATGGGATAGTACCTCCCTCAGCCCTCAGGGCTTCTCAGGCTCCAAAAAACCTTACCCATGTGCCTGAGAATGCTGGACAAATACTATGTTCTCTGTGTGCTGTGAGTAAAAAAGATCGAGAAGTACCGGGAGACCTACTTAGTTGGACTGGTCTGAAGTGTTACATCCCAATATGTTATTTTCAAATCTAATACTATTTATCTGGCGTCACTATATTTTGGGTAGAGGAATCTACCAAATGTGGCACAGAACACAAAAATTGTGTTCAGGGCTTGGGGACATTGGTTTGAACACAGTCACTGAGCAAAAGAAGAGTTCCCAACGTATGTCTACTTTACCATGTCATAATTCAATTCAATTCAACATGAATTTATTGAGCATTCCCCTTCCCACATACTCTGCTGTTCTTCACATGGTGCTTATCACCTTTTAACTGTATCATTTATTAATTTATTATGTGTTTGTCTTCCATGTAGAATGTAAGCTCCCTGAGGACAGGCAGTTTTGGTCTGGTTTGTTCACTGGTGTATCCCAAGTGCTGAAAACAGTGCCTCACACATGGCAGGTACTCAGTGCATGTTGAGTGAATGCATGAACTTGATACGTGCCAGGCACTGCACTATAAATAGGAAGCCCTTGCTAGCATGGGGACAGATAAATAAAAGGCAACTACAATGTGAGGTGGTAAATGAAGTTGTAGGAATAAACATGGAGGGTTCTAGAAGTGTAGGGAGAAGAGTGGCTGTCTGAGGCTTGGAGAAGCAAGCAAGTGCCAGACCAGGCAGAAATGGCTAAATCTTGCACTGTAAGTCCACTGAAGGCAGGAGTGTAGAGGCAGGAAGGAAGCCCAGAGGCCATGTGGTCCTGGGATGGGAGTGGGGGTTTCCTAGGAAGTTGGCAATTATTAGAAATAGAGCCCAGAGCTGAAAAGCCATCCTGGCTCTGGGATGGAGGCTTCTTCCCAGTGGCTGAGGACTAAAATATCCAGCAAAACAGTGGTTGTTAGGAGAGGCAGGGCAGAAAGTTCTGTGTGTGTCAGACCTTGCCCCATCACAGGGAGCCTGGGAGCCTCCTTTAACCATAAATTTACTGTCTGAAGCAAGGCTACAAAGGAATCCAAACCAGCAGAGGAAAGTCCAATAACCACCCAGGAGGAGAAAAAGAAATCTGTACCCCTATAAGAAGGGGCAGGACTGGTGAAATGAGGTTAGGGAGGAGAAAGGCATAGGCATGATGTCGATCTTGCCAACCATAGGCCACATAATGATTGTAAGGATGGCCATGTGATTTCAGGGTCTGTATGTCACATTTTATCTTGGGGGACAACGACAGAAGCCTTTCACTATTCTTTTTTTTTTTTTT